TGCCATTTATTCAATGAGTATGAACTAAAAATTTTTTAAAATTTGCAAATATATTTCTTATATCTTCAAATATATTTCCACAAAATTATTTTCATGCTTGCTTATTGAAATATCTTGAAATGATGTTTTTAATCTACTTAATGGGGATATCCCCAAGGTAGTCCCCAGTTCGCCAACTTTGACACCAAATAACGCAAAATATTACTATGTTAGCATGCTTTATGACCTTAGCAAATCTTGTTCCTAGCATCCTAAAATATTTTCATACAAATTTTCATGACTTTTGGATAAATCCTCCCCGAAATATCTACAAAAAACGTGAAAAAACACGTCCCGCCATTACTTCCGCCGGAACTGTATAGTTATTCCGGAGTATCTCGAGGAGTTAGGAATTATTAACTAGCCAAGTTGAAAAAAATTAATCGGATTATATTATCGCCTTAATTTGTCACTAGTCAAATACAGATCAACAGATCACCGTATGACCGAAAAATTGTGTAATTGTCATATTATAAATACCCCAGACCGAGAATTTTTTTGAAACATTTTTATTTATTGCATTGATTTTTGTATCATTTGTCTCGTTAGAATTATTAGTCGCAAAACCATATTAACCATTTTTAGAAGTAATTGTAGGCAAAACAAGTCACCAAAACATATATACAAATGTCTACTCGCTCAAACGGTCGTCAGCTAAGGTCGTTATTTTATATTTGCTGAAAATTTATTAGTTTAAACCCGATTTAATTCTCGATTTTCGCGTTTGCAGATATACCGACATCATGATATTCTGTCTCGTTCTAGGCGATGCTATTAGGAAAGCTTTCCTGTTAAAGTCAGTGAAGATACGAAAGTCTCTCGCCTCAGGAAGTCAGTCAGGGATGGAAAACAACGTTTTGCCAATATTGATGAAGAAGACTTAATCCTATGGAAGGTGAACATCCCTACATACGGTAAAGACCTGGGAACTGTAATACTTGCCGATAATATCAAAGAACAACTCGGAGGTGTGGAGTTGTCTCCATTTGAAAATGTTGGTCTTTACTTTGTCGAACTAGAACATTTTTCTGACCAAGAACCCATTAGTAAATACATCCGTATCATCGTACAACCACCTACCACCACTGGTAAATGTCTTCCAATATTCTACTTCTCGAACAAAGATAGTTTCGCTATTCTGTTTTCTATATAAATATTGAACACCTTTGCTCGTCATGCTTTGTACTAGACCAATGGCATACTAATGTATCTCGTAACATTGCAAACCTACATTATCAACCCCGACAACAAAGTATGTATAAGCTGGTATTTTGAATCACAGTGTTTATATTTCTAACAATCAGCCTTTTTATTAGATGGTCTTGGTGGTACGCTGATACCTCGTCTAACGAACGATGAAACTTTTGAGGGCATTTCTCTTACTGACCCTGACATCAGCCATAGATTTGAAAAAACATCATCCTTAATCAAAGATCTTATCAAGAAGAAGGTTTTGCTTATCCGGGCTCCTCCCTACTCTGGCAAAACATCAATGGCCCAACTTATGGAGTATCACTTGGTTAGCTCTTCAGAATATTCGAAGTACAGGGTGATAAGAATTTCAATGCTTTGGGGATCGGCTGTGGGAGTAAATTGCAGTTGGGAGACGTTTGGGGAGTTATGGAAGAGGGTTATCGGTATAAGCTGGATTGAATGGGTAGGACAGTGCCAACAAATTCCAACGATTTTGATATTAGACGAAGTTCAATTGATATATAAGCAAGAGCGTGGAATTGATGAAAGTAATGAAACGAGTGCAGATGTATTCTGGAGAACTGTCAAAGGATGTCTCCAAGAAATGTCAAACATCTATATCATTATGTTTGGGACATACGGATATCATAGTGCTAACTCTGCAGGACTTTCGACTCCTGTTGAGATACCACCACCGAAATGCAAAAGTCTT